TACTACACTAATAATATATATATATATATATATATATATATATATATGTGTGTGTGTGTGTGTGTGTGTGTATATATATATATATATATATATATATATGCGGTAACAGCAAGCACATACCCCGCTACACAGTGAGCATATGCCGGCCTTGAGGAAATGTTCCCTGGCACCGTACTTGAGTAGGTTGTTCTCGATAGCCTGTAGACCCACGGATTCGTAGATGTCCACTGCTTTTTCGTAGTGCTCTAATTGCGCCGAGAAGAAGGCGACCTTTAGCAAAGCCTTGTTGGCAGAGCTGGTCGAAAGAAAAGGAGTGTGGTTTAAGAAGGTTACCCTAGACTAAGAAATGGGGTGCGGTTTAAGGAGGTTACCCAAGCATTCTAAGCCATGGGGTGTGGTTTAAGGAGGTTACCCTAGCACTAAGAAATGGGGTGTGGTTAAAGGAGGTTACCCTAGCATTCTAAGCAATGGGGTGTGGTTTAAAAATGTTAATCTAGCACTCTAAGAAATGGGGTGTGGTTTAAGTAGGTTACCCTAGCACTCTAAGCAATGGGGGTGTGGTTTAAGAGGGTTACCCTAGCACTGTAAGAAATGGGGTGTGGTCGAATGAGGTTACCCTAGCCTTCTAAGCAATGGGGTGTGGTTTAAGGAGGTTACCCTAGCACTCTAAGCTATGGGGTGTGGTTTCAGAAGGTTATCCTAGCACTAAGAAATGGGGTGTGGTTAAAGGAGGTTACCCTAGCATTCTAAGCAATGGGGTGTGGTTTAAAAAGGACACCCTAGCACTCTAAGATATGGGGTGTGGTTTAAGAAGGTTATCCTAGCACTCTAAGCAATGGGGTATGGTTTAAGAAGGATACCCTAGCACTCTAAGCAATGAGGTGTGGTTTAAGAAAGGTACCCTAGCAATCTAAGATATGGGATGTGGTTTAAGGTGCTAGGGTATTAAAGGGGATATACATTTATGTATGATAGAAAGCGGTAGGGAACCGAGGGAAATGCGTGCAGACACTATGAGGGTGGCGTGTTCGACAGAAGTGGATATATATATATAGTCAATTGTTTACAGCGAGCCATGCCTTCGCCCTCATAATTTGGTACTGTTTGGACATATGAATAACATAGAATCTATATCAGTGAATATAACAACCCTAAATTATTGATAGTAATATGTTGATTGGTCAGCATAGCACCGGTGGTTCAGATTTTTGTTCACACAAATGCGTTGATACATGTACGTATAGATATGTATACTCCTATATGCTCACACTTCCTACTCGACACGTCTATGTGTGTTATAGATATGTATACTCCTATATGCTCACACTTCCTACTCGACACGTCTATGTGTGTTATAGATATGTATACTCCTATATGCTCACACTTCCTACTCGACACGTCTATGTGTTTATACCCCCAGCATCACATACCTAGTGGAATCTCGGGGCTCTAGAACGAGGACCAATCAGATGACAGAGATATGCTACACGCCAATTAAACACTCGCACACTTGTATAACAATAGCATAACAAGCCTGTTTGAGTCATCGTACCGGAACGAGGTCCAATCAGATCACAGAGGTATATGACAGGCAAATCAAGCACGTATATCCGTGTAAACCAATAGCACAAAATACCTGGTTAAGTATTCGCCCTGGTACCAGCACCAATCAGATCACAGAAATATGTGACAGACCAATCAAACACGTATATCCATGTAAACCAATAGCGCAACATACTTGGTTACGTCTTCGCCCTGGAACGAGGACCAATCAGATCACAGAGATATGCAACAGACCAATCAAACGCGTATAATAGCAACACATACCTGGTCGAGTCTTCGCCCTGAAACCAGTCGGCGGCCTGCGAGTAAGCCGCACAGGCTTTGTCCAGATCAACTAACTCGGTTTCGTAGATCTCGGCTATTGTCATTTGGTTCTGTTAATAAACGGCACAGGAGGTGATGTACATACTTCAAAAGAACTGAGATTGATAACTAAGATATTGAGAAGCATGTTATTACGCATATAAACGACTCGACTTCAATGGCCTCTAACAAGCCCTCATATGCACCTACACATGCTAAAGTGTGGCCTAATAGTAACGAGATACATTAAGATCCACACTTGCATTTTATATATGGTTATATATATATATATACATATACATACATACATACATACACACATATACATGTATATATATATATATATATGACATTATTGTGCAAGTATGTCTTTATATATATATGTATATTTATAGAATTTATACATATACATATATATAAATATATCGAAATACATTTATATAAATAAAGAAACAGCACAATAAACATCTATATATGAGAATGAAACATTCTACTGCAATCGATAAGTTGGAAACTATGTTTGAACAGGTACAAAACGTCCCACACACAATATACTGATCTCACTTGAGTACGAATACATTGGCGCGTGCAGTTATAGTTAAAAGGAAGCACCCCATATCATTCAGTTAACTTAATGCTGCAGATCAACACGCAACTACAGGTTAAACAGCAGATCGAAGGCTAGCATATACCTATGCACGTGCTTTCACGCGCTTGCACACGTAAATACATATACAAGATCATAGCATGTATCACACATACGAAAATCAATATATAAATCCACACATGTAAAATGCATATATATAT